TGGACTGATCGTTAAGACACGGTTCCCAGCAGATCACCGAAGTCAAGCATCACTGGCTACGGTCAGTGTGCGGGTGGGTGACCACTTGGATCAGTCTGCGTAGGGACCAAGGGTGTGCGATATTGGTCCTCGTTAAACTGTTCTACCGTACAGTGCTCTACTTCACGTGCAGGTCGTCGGGCTACCGAAGTGGGGGTGCCATTCCCTCCGCAGAGGATCAAAATTGTGATGGCATGTCTTCGGATCATCCTCCGGGATGTTTCCCAGACCGTCGCCAATAGCCCATCGTGCAGCTCTAGTGCGACGTAAATTAACTATAACTCCCTTTAACCCTGTATTTATGCAGGCTAATATTCTTATTATAAAAGATAGTTTATAAGCCCTTGTTATGTTAAATTACAGATGGAACAAATTAGAGAAGACCATTACAAAGATACATCCAGGATTATGGTAGAATCTGAAGGGCCTTTCTGGCCGAGCTGCTTTGCTCACCAAATGCTCTGTAGCTTGGAGGTATCAAAGAATCTTCCATGTTCTTTAGAGGTATCTCTGTAATCCTAAATCCCACCGCAACCCTAGATGCATCTTCGAGCTGTCCTTTTCTGAACTATACTATTTGTCTACATGACAAGTCAGACTTATAAGCCTCACTTATGTAACTGCGTGCACAAGCCTGCACGTATGAGTACGTGTACCAATAATTAAATAAATGAAAAAAGAATATACGAACCCGCTACCTTCACGCTGCAGAAAGCTTAATAGATTGGCAAAAATACTCGGCAAGGGAGGCTCCGTCACATAACTGTTATACAGAAATAAAAATTATAAAAAAATCAATTTAAAAAAAAAAGATTGTGATAGATACATACGGGTAATAAAGGAAATCAAACTCGCTTCCCTATTTTTTTTAAGGCGACAAAACGTTACTTTACAGAGCTACGAATGCAGTCAAATTTTTGACAAATTTTTTAGTTTTCATGTTGTTATAGTTGTAGCTCATTTACGTCGCACTAGAGCCGCACAATGGGCTATTGGCGACGGTCTGGGAAACATCCCTGACGATGCGATCCGAAGACATGCCATCACAATTTTGATCCTCTGCAGAGGGGATGGCACCCCCGCTTCGGTAGCCCGACGACCTAAGAGAGTGAAACTGAGCCCTTTACGGTAGAACAGTCTAACGAGGACCAATACCGCACACCGTCCGTACCATCGTAGGCTGATCAAAGTGGTCACCCACCCGCACACTGACCGCAGCCAGTGATGCTTGACTTCGGTGATCTGCTGGGAACCGTGTCTAAACAATCAGTCCACTGCGGGTCTTTTAGTTTTTAATTCCATAAAATAGAGCTGAAATAATTTACCCATATTTATATCCACTGAAACTCGGATTAATCCATTCAGACCATGATCCATGATCACGCCATTCTCTTTACACTTCCCACGGCATCATATATGAAGTGAGTTTTTCTGACTCTAGTTGCCCAAGATCACTCAGATTTTATCTCAATTAAATACTCACGTATTAATAATCTCGCATAATCGTAACGAGTACTCTATAGTACGTATATTCTCGGGAAGTGTGTCTAGGGAAGTGCTTCTTTTTCCTTATGCCGGTCCTGAACAGGTTTAATGCTCTTTGTTATATTTTAAAACAAAGCTTCAACCTTTAACAATCATAAGTTAATGACATATTAAGCATAGACTGATGCTAAAATATATATTTTTTAAACTAATTCGTACAGATTGAAAACTTGAATGTTAAATATTTCTACACTGTTAGGAATGTTAGAGCATGAGGAATCATACCATTGTTCCAATTTGCTTCAACCTTAATATGAAGCTAGGGGGAATCATATTATCATGGTTTTTAAACTTGATCACACAATACTATGGTGCAACTTGAACGGATATATAGCTAAATTTAGCACATTGAGAATGAAGAGCATTTGTATGATATTACGGTTCAAGAATGTGATTCAATCAATGGTCAATATGATTCACCGTTGAATCGATTTTCCTGGGAGAGTATAGACTTCTGAAAATGTCTATTAAAACTTTCGTTTATTGAAGTTGGGTACAAAAATATTTATCACTATTACACAGAATACGCAAGTATTTATCTCATCGTAAATGTAGAAAGTTTAAGAAAACATTTCAATTTTTAATGTTTAAATCCTTAATAATTGTCCATATATGAACTTTGATTTCATTGATAGTAGTCATCAGAACATCAACTATAAGTTTTTTTTTTTCTGAAATGTTGACCATTTTTGTTTATTTTAAGACAATTTCCAAAGACAATTAAGTCAATTTTCTGATCAAAACATTTCGAATGAGATTCTAGCCACAAATTTAGAAATTTTACTTCTGTAAATGTTACATTTTACGGACTAATCCTTTACAAGTTTTTTTTTATTTATTTTAAATCAGAATGATGTAATTTATACGTTGTTACAAATAAATCTGATTTGAGTAAAAACTTTCTAAATATATAAAGCATGACTGAATATTGTAAGTAGGGATTAGTCTCATTTGAAGGCACTAACACCAATTGAATTTTCCAAGCGTGGTCCTCTAGTTGGGGATATGTTATACAGGGATTTTATAAGAATCGTTTTATTATACTGAGTGTTTCATAATCAAGGCCCCCGATATATATTTCTTGTCAAAAATGAGGTTTTAAAATTTCACACATTTAAGGCTAAAATTGGGAGGAAGATAAGCAATATCAATGACAAAAATTCATTATCTGTGTCAATTGTAACAAAGAAAGGAAGCAAGCCTTCATAATCCATAATAAGCCTTCATAATTAAAAATATTAACAGGATGAGATTGAAAGTTTTTCGCTTTTCTTCAGCAACCATTTTTCTTTTCGAAAAATATTGTTTTTGATGGTTTTAATCTCTTCAAGTCTCATATCAACTGAGTAAATTATTCGTAAGTTTTTGATAAAGTTATTACTTTAGTTAACCTCTTCTTTCTCGCTCCCGTGAAAATGACGGGGTTAGTTTTCGCTCACTATTTCTCGCTCCCGTGATATTGACGGGCTGGAGTGTTCAGTAGTAATGCGCAAATAAGTATAAAACTAATTCATTTCTTTTGCCCGGAAAACATTTTATTTCTCATTTTACACACCATGTAGCAGTACCAGGATATTTTTAAGGTAATTGTAAATAGTTTATTTTAAACTAGATACTAGCACTAATCAAATACGTGTATTTGGCAAAATAGACACTTTTTTGACCGTTTTCTTGAAAATAAACCGATCGTTAAGGGGTTAACGTTTTTATTATTCTTAATATTTTTATAGCCAAGGTGAAAAAAGCTAAAATCAATTTTTGTATAGTTTTTGAGCCAATGCTTTATTATATAGTGACATAAAATAAGTTAAAAGCAAAGACTTACTTTTTTATATGAATTTTAAAATTTACTTGCACTTCTAATTGTTTGAAAAAATAATCTCCATTAAAATTATTACTTCCCAGCAATACAATTAAGACAAAAACATGAAAGCAGAATAAATTTTATTGAAATATCAAAATGTCTCAATTTACATTCAATGCAAACAAATTTATTAAAATCCATCAATTTATGCGATAATTGTACGCACATGTTTGAAAAATAAAATAATATATACAGTAGTGCAAGCAGCGCCAAAAAATACAAAATGTGGTGACTATTTTGCTTGTGGAAACTAAAATTTTAAATAGTTTAATTTTAAAAATACAGACGTCAAGATATAGAGCTAGAAATACATTCATAACTATTATAAATAAGCTTTGGTCGTTAAGATTGTGTTATTTAACTCGAAAAGAAATAAAATTGAGTAGTTTTATTACCACTCTCGATGATTTTAAGCGCAACTCTTGCACCACTGTACATATCAAATTTCAGATATTAAATCTTAGAGTCAAAAATCATTGTATAAATATTTACTGTGGGAAGCATATCTCTTCCTTTCTTTTCTAGAGTACAGAATAACAGCAAAACATATGAAGAAAAGACAGACACTTAGTACACTCAGCGATGCTGTAACAGAAGAAAATTTCAAATATGGAACGCAGTCTTTTTCAATTGAATTGTCAGCCGTTGAATTTCCACCACTCGCTGCACTTAAATTGTAATCTGATGTACTACCAATAGCCTCATCAAATTCCAAAGAGCTATAGTTTGAAGGCATGCTATTGGTAATTGAATTTTCTAAAGCTAGAATGCTTCTAGTAACTTCGTTTGGCATGCAAGAAGATTTAACGCAATCAATACCACTATGATTTTTTAATTCGTATGATAAATCGATAACTGTTGGCTGTGAAGATTCAACAATGGTAGTGTCTTCGCTAATAGAGAATTCAGTTTCGTCTTCGACAATGCTAAGTCTTCCAATCCGTTCTGAGACTTTCTTTTCTGATGAGTTTAAATTACCACCAATAAAACTTTGAAAAGAGGCCTGGTTTACACTTACAACAGACTCATCTTCTGAAATATCAGGTATATAAATAGTAGACACTTCCTCATCAAGTATAATTAATTTATTACTATCATCATGCACAGTAAAAGTTTCTTTTTGAATAACTGTGGAAGGATTAACATTAGCCGCATCTACGGCTGCATCTAATCTCGGTGATCTTTGTTTCGAGTTTAGAGTGTTTTTGCGAGCAATTTGGAGCTCCTTCAACTTTAAAAGCCTATCAGATAAGATCCTGACGGATGTTCTTAAATCCATATTGCTATTTCTAAAACCTTTAAATGATTTATCAAAGTGCCCTACTTTATGAGTACGAACAGTACTCCAACGATTGTTATTTATTTCTGTCTCTCCAAAACAAGAGTATGGGCAAGAATGTAAACATCTGTCAAAAGCGCATGTAATGTAAAAAGTTTTTTGCGAAAAAGAAAGATCAAAATTTTGAACTTCTGAAAAATCTCTGAGATCAGAATACGATTTGTCAGCTTTTAAACTCAACCAGTTTAATAGGCCTACTCTAGCGCATTGATTATCTTCAAGTAACAGATCTGGATCAGTTACCTGATCAATCACGTACTTAGCATGAGCATAACACTTTCGTATACGTAGTTGAACATATTTGCCACCATCCGTTACGTTGAGAACTAGAAATTGTTTCCCATTAACTTCAAGTATATTAGATAACTCGTCGCCAAATAATTTTTCTGCAGACATTATATCCAGTTTTGAGTCAACTGGTGTTGGTAGTTCCAAATCCCTGTTTAAATAGGATCTGAAAAATTCTTGAGGTAAAGGGTAATCTATATCACAAGTAGTAATTATTTCACAATCTAGTACACTTTTTATAAGAGGATGAAACTGAATAGTAATTTCGTTCATAGCTTGGAGATTGTCTTCGCCTACAAATCTTCTAATTGTTGTATTACAATTCAAGAAAGGTAGACTCAAAGCAACTAAAGTGGATCCAGAAGTTTCCATATTCGTTGTACTGAAAGTAAGATTTTAATAATGAAAATAATTGAAAATAAGATTTATTACAACAGCAAAATCATCATTGTTACGTTAAATGATATGGATTAGATAGTTCGTGATAGAAATCGTCTGAATAAATTGCCAAACTTTTAAAATTTAAATATCCATATATGATCAATAGATAAAATTAAAAAAAATATTTAAGAATTTTTACAAAAATAGTCACCAAAATAAAAGGCAGGAATTTTTCGTAAACAATTTAATCGAATTAAGTTTGTTCCAAACAATTTGATTAAATGTTCTTAACAAAGTTTAAAAAACTATGTTGTGTTTCCGAAAAGCGATTTCAATTTAATAAAAATGTAGAATATATTTCATATACCATTGATTCGACTTCGTGCAATAAATTTCAGAAATAGAAAATTTCCATAGTCGGTTATTCATTTACTAGCCAGGTTCTCCATACAATTAAACATCTTAGCAGGCCACTAAATCTGCATGTTTTATAATTACCACCTTTAATATGTAATTTTGGAATCCTTGTAAAAAAATTTAATAAAAAAATAAACCTATGTGTCACAAATTTATTTTAAGCGACGGAATATATATAAAAATCGGGTAAATCATTAAAGAGAAAAGAGAAATTAAAAACATCAAAACCTGCTTTTAAAGTATGGGGGAAACTGAGGATGTAAAAGGTGATTATTTAAAACACCTTAATGTTTCATCGGTTGATAAAACTTCTTTTTTTGTATTTAATCCCATCTTCACGCTAAAAATGCATCAGATTTTGAGAGCAATTTTCTATTTCTTCTCGTTATTAATTTGTGACCTCATTTATGTAATTTTTTAATTTTTAACAAAAGTCTCTAAAATTACACATTAACACTTTCAGAAGCGGGGGATAAAATAGCTGTATTAATTTTTTACAATAATATAAACCAATTTTTCTATGATTTTAAAGATAAAACGAATCGCTTCAGTTAGGAACTTTATAAACAAGCACTACAACAATCGCTTTTCATGACCAAGTATTTGGATTAAAAGTTTTGGCCCCACAAAGGGCTAAAAAACGTTGATTACGGAGCATCTTACATAAAACTTTTATGGTATTTAACATCTAAAAATAAAACACATAATGGTATAAAATAATATTGTTCAGACACAGGGTGATACTATGTTATTCCATATCTAATAAGATTCATGAAATTTAGAAGAGGAAAGGATATTCTATCAAATTAGCTATTTTTGGCGTAATTTATTAAGTAAATATATTCACAAAACTTTTTATTTTTAAATTTTAGATGTATCTTGGAAACTTAAGATTTGAGGTATTTAGTCGGATTTTAAGCGAGTATAATTCTTTTGGAACTTTAAGAACTATTTTCAGACTTATTAAGGTTGAAACTTGTAGCAAAATTTCTAAAGGAACAATCAAAAACTCTCCTCCTTACTTTTCCAATTATTTAAAAAAAAAAATTCTAGAGAATCTCAGTAAGCATTTCTGTTCTCAGAGTATTAAATTGAGAAGGTAAAACAGTTTCCAAACATCCGTTTATTAATTTTATAACCAGTTTTCTGTTTTGGTTGGGCGCTGATCAGCTTACTATTTTTAGTTTCGAAACTGGTTCGTTTTAGTTCGAACTGACAAGGTTAATTTGCAAATAGTTTTAATTAAATCGCTTTTAAAAGAAAATTATTTCAGAGTTCATTCGTTTTTTGAATGGAAGTGAGGTGAAATCTTTTAACCGGAACTCTAACAGTCATGGAAAGTTGAAATCTTTCCCATCAGAATTATTTTTGAGGTTAAAAAAATTAACTTTTTCTTAGATCTAAAATAGCGTGTGATGTTTTATTCTTTAATGCCGGCGTGATAAAGTTTTTGCTGACTATCAACATCAGATCAATTTTCACTTACGGAGGAAATTGCAATTTAATATGTACTTATTATAAACAGTGAATTGCGTATTTTTCTTTTTCAGAGACGATGCTTTAAGTTTTCTATTTTATTTTCATATAAGGATAAAATGTCACTAAATATGAAAAATTAGACTACACTTTCATAAACGCTTCTCGCGCCTAGTATTTCACACGCCAACAAAAATATAAATAATTTGGTATAATTATATATTACAATAAAATGTAAGACATTAGTTAATAAATGCATAATATAAAATACTAAACTAAAAACGATTGTTGACCATGGTGCATTGAGGGTTAAACCTTAAAAGATTTAAAACCAAAATCTTAAGACTAAAAGCACATTGAAGATAATCATTCATTAAAAAATCTATTAACTGCTTCTTGGACAGACTACAGCTTTTTGCATTTTAAAGTAATTTAAGTATCGAACTTTTCATTTTTGTATTTTGGACCCGCAGTCGGACGGAAAGTCGTCGAATAAACAATAGAATTCAATGGTCGGTGTCTGGTCAATTATGCTGCGATATGGTACGTTTTCAAAACAATTCAAAGGAAAAATTAAGTTTGATGCTTCAAATTTCTGATGCTGCAAATTAAGTTTGCAGCGGGAGAAAAAATTTCTTTTCTTTGCTGATGAAAAAAAATGCTAGAATTGTATGTTTTACGTTTTACTATGGTTAAATGTATATGGGAGGAAATAAATTAACTTCCACGGAAACGATCTCATCGTTTATGAAGTTACTGTTACATGATGTGAAAGTTAAGAGGGGTCACCAGTTCTGGTGCTGTTTACCTCAGCTGTCCGTGATTATAATTGCGGAGCGTATTTACCATGTCTGATTTAAGGTAGGCAGGGCTAGGACCATGACCATGTTTCTGTTGGTAATAACGTTTACTAATAACGTTAAAATACCACTTGTGAACTGTGTTTTTCTTAAGAAGCCTCTTCCCACACCATTTTAGGTTTTGAGTTAAATTTCGGATATTTATTTTATAAAATTTTTTTCGTAGTATCTTTTGATAACAGACTAACATTAGATAGTGCTAAACCTTTGAAAACTCTGACAAAAATGAATGCTTTATTTTAATTGGTTAGGACATTTTTCTCCTAACCAATTCAATAACGTAACACGTTTGATAACTTTTAGAACTTCCATGGATTTTTTACCTCAAAAATTGAAAGCAATGAAATTATGCATTTAGTAATTTTTAATAACCGTTTAAACTGCATTATTTTTTTCTTTAATTTGCTTTTATTGTTTAAATTTACGAAGACAGAATTGCATGATGCTGAAAAATTTTAACATAAATTACACAAAAACAGTTATGAAAAATATGAAAACAGACAAATATATAATGCTACACCATCTTTCAAAATATGCTGATTGCAGGATTTTATTAGTATAATTTTGTCAACAAAAAAAAAATAGAAAGCACTAAAAAAACCGTGCTATCATGAGCTGTGTTTCTCAAATTCTGATTGGATGACTGCTTGCATTTTAAATGTTTCAAAGGATACTGAATATATAGTGTGTATATCTAACATCAATTTATTAATAAAAATTAAGACTGAAAAGTGAATTGTAGTACACTTATTTTTCTAATGCATGAAATATTCATCAAAATTAATACAGTAACTTACCTACAGTTAGGGTCTCCATTGTAACCATTTGCAAAAATGGTTCCCTCAAATGATCTCTCGAACGATACAGTAACAGCAATTTGCTCCTCCTCGCAAACAGCACTGTAATGCAGAATATCACAGCAATAGCAAACAGTCAAAGCGAGTATCTGAAATAAAATCAGTTTAAATTAGCAATTTATGTTTAATAGCACTTCAATCTACTGGTACAATTTCTATAAAAAATATTCCTGATTTTAGTGATTTTCGATCCTAAAAATTTAAAAGCTGTTAAAAAATAAGATAAAAGGGCTAAAATCAAACATTTATTGAAAATGGTTAAATAAATTAAGATCTTTATTACTTGTGATTTTAATATAATTTTCTATGAAATAATAATTGAGAAGGTTGAGTTTGTGGTTATTGTCAGAGAGTTTAAATTTCTAAAGTTTATTTTATTGGTCTAAAAAAATTAAATTTTTCAGTAAAACTATTTAAATCATGTGGATTGGCTTTTAAGTTTACAAACCTGAAGTTGAAATTTTAATACGTTTTGAATTATCTTGATTAATATGTTTCTTTTAAAGACAAATAAAAATTAAAGGTAAAGGATGGGGTACAAAAAAGTTTAAATTTTTTATTTTAAATTACATATTGATACAAGAAGAATGCATTTTTTTATTACTAGTTCAAGAGTTAATTGACTGAGTAAATTCCGAAAAGGATTGCCCCAATCAAACAGCTTCAAAAACAAAACTAAAGGAATACAGCCAGTTTAAAATGTTTAGAAGACTTAAATCCAAATTCTTTCTGCTAAGCCTTATTTAAGATCAAATCTAAACTGTCACATTGAAATAACATACAAAAACATCTCAAATTACTAAAAATCAAATTTAAGAATTTTCTAAAATGTTGCATTTATATTTTACTTCAAAAATTTAATAGCATTGAATCTCGATTTCTTTACATAAAGTTTTATTTATCCATTCTGCGAACGGAAATACAAAAATAAAAACCAAAATTTTACTCCTGTTTTATACTTTTTAATGCTGTTCTTCAAAAATGCCCTAGTACATTTATAGCCGTTAAATAGATTCATTAAATAGAAGGAAACAAAACTTCACAAATAATTTTACAGAGAAAAAAAGCTTCATTTTTATGAATAAAAACTTACCAGAACTAAGAAGAAAATAATTATCTTGGATGCTCGCATCTTCGAAGATAATGCTGATAAGAAAGACAATTTTGTTAAATTTCTCTGAAACAAGGAATTAAAATTTCAATAAATAATTAAAAATTAATATGTTTTCTATTATATATCTAAGAAAAAAACTGTTGGCAAAATTATATGTTATTCATAAAATAGAGTTAGTACTAAAACATTTCAGAGATGCAAGTTTTGACGACTACGAAAAACAATAGAATGGAATTGAATTATTTGCATCACTTCCATCAGCTTATTTCTGGCAGATTAATTTTTGTGTCACCAAAAAAAGTCAAGAGTGGTATGACTGAGGGGTATCACCCACCAAATGCCCTGTAGTGTGGAGGTTCCTAGTTCGAATCTCATCGTAACTTTGGATATATCTCCGTACTGTCCTTCTCTGAATTGTACTACCTCACCTTTTATTTGAAACTTATTCATATGTATTTGAGTCCACAGCACCTGCATGTATGTATAAAAATAAATTAATGAGTAGTAGCATGAAGGTAGCGGGTTCGAATCCCTTTGCAACGTTGGATGTATCTCTGAGATGTTCTTCTCTAACATGTGACATCTATTCTTTTACTTGAAAAGTAGCTTATAGACCGTATTTTGTAATGAACAAAAATTTTTTTATTATGTATATGCTGTTGTTGTTAATTTACGTCGCACTAGAGCTGCACAATGGGCTATTGGCGACGGTCTGGGAAACATCCCTGATGATGAGCTTCTCACGAATCCT